GTTTAAAACACAGAAAAGACAGATTCAGCATTCATAGGTTATGCAAGTGGTTTCTTACCTATGTCTGTCCAGTACAATAAAGAAACAAATCCCTGCAAAGAAAAATTGTCAAAACTGAATCAATGATTATTGGAAGATGACTTCCTATCAGGAAGTAGATTAAATACTTTTCAAAGTTATTATATGCAGTTATTAAAAAAATTAGTTGGAACCAAATGTCTGTGCATTAGTTTTTATTTCTGCAACATCTTACTTAGGAAACAATAAAAGAAGTCTACCTGAGCATCTTAGTTTATGGAAATTTTTGTTGTTCTGGTTGCACTCCGTTCTTCAATCACATACTAATGAGTCAAAAAATAAGCAGCAACTCATGTTATGTACTATGTCTATAGAAAAGGACAGCATAGGAGATTTCCTGTTATGTATTCCTTTGTGCTTTCCATTCGTTCTGTACATTGATCCAAACATTGTCTGTTTTCCAGCAGCCTTTCTGAAAAGCTGTTTTTTACTATATGCCCCCAAACCCCCCATATACATGGCTGTTGTGAACTATTTTGTGGAAAGATGATGTGACCCCAGAGTGCTCCTGCTCATAGTAATCAGGAAGCTGGCATGGCTGAAGACCAGAACATGTGAGCACCTCTGCTCTTCAGTTCTCCGAAATAGAAACCAGGCTTACTGAAATAAAGGGGGCTGAGGAGCATCTCTAAGTTGATGGGTTTGGGTCAGTTGATACTGCATTTGACTGCTGCAGAAAAGCCCATGAGATTCCAGGTGAATCATGTTTCCTGGAAACTGAGGTGTATGTTGAAAGTTAGTTTTGAGATTATTTATCTGAATGTAAAGGAGTATATGACACCAACTAGGGACTTAAAGTAGTAGGGGTGACATAGGCTATAGTTTTAAGTCTACTGAAATTTAGATTTTCTTGGCTGTTATGGTCTGCTTGAATGCTCCAACTGGTGTGTGAGTAACTTGATGCCGTATGCACACAGGGGCAAGAGAGCAATCTGTGAGAGTATTTAGAAGTGTTGGCTATTAGATCTGAGTACCTTGATGGTCTTGAGAAAAATGTCTCCTGAAATTATTCCCTTGAATATAAGGGGAGCAGTCATTGCTAATTTGACTTTTAGCTCCAACTGTTCATAAAAATTGCATGACTCTTTTTGTAGCTGTGGATGAACCCCAGTATGGTAAAGCTTTTGGCAGTCACAGAACCGGATGAGAGTTAGCAGCCTCTCTGTACTCTTCTGGGGACAGATGCTAACTGCAGTGCGATGTTGGCAGGCTCCCCTAGCTCTTTTGTACCTGCTTCACCATCTATATACTGGGTCTTAGCTGTTATTTTCTTACAGGCTTTGCCACCAGCGTCACTTGCTGTATAAACTGAAAGAGGTTAGGGAAGCAAACACACTTGTAATGCTCACAGGGAAGCGGATTGCTGTGAGGTGTCTGAAGACGACCAGATCCAGTATGAAGGGGAAGCACTTTCTCCTTACCCTGTATGGATGTTGCTGGCCATAACAGCTATGGCTTTGTAGGCTTGAAAGCAGGAATATAAGTAGCATTTTTCAGAGGAAGAGGTATGTGTGTATCGCAGAAAGAGGGGAGTGAGACTTTTTAAAGGAGTATATATCGTATGTAAGTGCATTGAAATGATGATTTGTAATAAATTGTTTATCACCAGACTTGGTATAAGTAAAGGAACTGGTAGTAAAGGTGATACATTTTGGCAGCTAACTAATTAAGAGTTATCGCTGATCAATTTTTCTTCTTGTCCTGTTGAGAATAAGGTACAGCTGCCTCGATGTAGCTATGATCTGTAGATTGCTTGCTGCAGACATGTCTGGTTTTGCCCTTTGTGTTAAGTTCAGAGATAATGTGTGAATTTACCCACTATCATATAACCATACCACCATTGGCTCTTACCTTATCGACTGAGACTTCACTGGCAAGATCTTGGATCAGCTGACTACAAAATCTGAGTATGGCCCAAAGCTAGAAAAGTTGATCAATTGAGTGTGATTCAGCTCTGTTTGTGAGCATACTTGCATTAATTTCTTTAAAAATTTAGTCCTTGACTTTACTTGCCATTTTATGGATGCTAAGGCTGTTGATGGAGAAGAGGTATAACATAAAATTAATAGAAGAAAATACCACAGGCAGGCAAAACAAGAGTGACAGCTGAAGTAGAAGGCTGAAAAGTAGAAGAGGAAATCGTTTAAGGCCTAGCTTTTAATAGTGATTTAAAAATATATACAACAGTTACCTTAGTCAGATAGCTGTGACAGTTATTCTAGAGCTTTCATAAGTAGGGAATGATGATGCCTGTATTTTCTTTTTTTGGGAGGGGAGGGAGAAGAGGGGTCTAATTTCTTCACTTCTACCGCCATTCTTCCTTGCTTTGTAAAAGATTAGAGCTTTAATTTCAGATCCTGTATGTATCTCTCTGTGGGTAGATTCTTGCACCTCCAGAACCTCATTGCAGGGTGCTTGTTGAACCAGGATACGGTATTACTGCTTTGTTAATGTCCTTTTGTACTGTATGCTGAAGCATATTCCGTATAATGCTAAAAATACTGACCCCCTCCTGCACCTCCCCTTGCTGAAAGAAAACTGCAAATGCTAAAACAAGTGCACTTTGAGCTGTGCACCTCACTGAAAGGTTAAAGTTACAAATAAGTCAACTAGGATTTCAAGGTTAAAATTCTTTTCTACCCCATTTTGGTGATTTGATGGTCTTAATGTATACTAAAATGCATTTTAAATGTATTTGGTACCCCGGAATTAGTGATATGATTGGTACTGTTTACATTATTTCTAAACAACACTAGTTGAAGGACAGTCCTAAAAGAAAGCAGAACAACTTCTCCCCACCCCAAAAAAACCCTCAAAAAATTTTCTGAATGCTGTTTTGTGTGCAGATACAAAGGGAGTATTTTGAAGAAACAGAAGAAAATATTGACCAAGTCAAAGATCTGTATTGAAGAATGGATTAAATAAATGTTTGTGAGTTGTAAGAACCAAACAACAAAAATATTTTTCTTTCCAGAAACATTCCATCCTATTTTGATCATCAACAATAAAGCAGAAAACAACAATGAAGCTATTGAATCTGGAATGCCAATTGCAATCCAAGAAAAATGACAGTGTAACTAAATAATGCAAATGTCGGGGGGTGGGGGAAGAAATAATTGTATTTTAATTATCCGGAATATTAGAATTTCAAACATGTTCTAAACTCAAAGGCAATTTTTTTGAAAACTTAAATTCCAAAATAAGAGAATAAGTTCTGTTGTCCAAATACGAATGTGTGATAAGTAACTTTCTATTAAAACTTAGGGAGTTTTAATAGAAACTTCAAGTCTTAATAGAAATTGAATTGCTTCAATTTAGCACTGCAGGGTGGACACTGAGATGTTTCATAGATTCTCCAAATACTGTTATTAAGCTTGACATGCTGGAGAATATCATGTGTTAGGTAGAATCAAGATGGAATCCCAAAGGTACATCCTTAAACAGTATAATCAGATTCCCATTTCAATGTCACTTTTATCCTTCAAAGAATAGGTCCTTGTTTCAGTGATGATTTGTCATTAAAATTATGTCAAAACGTCTTAAAATGTTGTTGAAACTTTAAACAAACTCACAGCACACACAGGGCTAATTATGGATGCCATCTGTTTATTTTTACAAAGCTTTTTTTTTTAAAGACCAAAGCATCTTCTTGTTCTGATAAGCCACAAGATTATTATAATAACTAAATGTTTTCCTTAATACTAGTGTAGTTGAAGGAAGAAAGACAAGTGGTTTGGTTGCTGACCTTTTCCTGTGTCACAAAAGGGACATAGTATGACATCTCATGATAGAGAAACCATTGTGAAGTGCTTTTCTTAAGGTATTTTGGCCCTTGGAACACAAACATTTTATAATAAAATTGGCAGTTCTGTCATAATTTCTGTATGGAAAGTCTTACAGCTGTCTCTGGTTGAAGAACATGCTTTTAGCATGCCTATCTTTTACATCTATATGGTGCGCCCTTCTGTCTTTGGATGCTTTTTTTACTGTACTATGTCTAGTTAAAGGTTTTTCAAGTTAATACATGCGTCCATTTATATCCTCATTTCAGGGAAAAAAGTGTGTATGTGCATATGCGCGCACATGTGTGCATGCTTGTACGCACACACGGGGGTTAGTGTGAACGACGGGTATTCCCATGGCAGCATCATCCAAAGCCGTTAGCAGCAATTTGCTGAGAGCGCAGAGTGACTCTGCTGGTCCAGCCCAGCTATTGTGCATGCTAAGCACTAAACAGATAAGTCTGGAGGGGGGAAAAAATTGAAGGATCCATCTGCTCATTTCTGCTACACTGCGCTGATGCAAGATTACGCTAATCTGGTTGCTTGTCAGGACAGGTTAGTGAAAGCAGGCGAATGGGTGAGATTTAGGGTAGGCTAGTTCTATGGAAAATTGTAAGCGGCTCCTGTATGTGCCATGTTAAGTGTAGCAGAATGGGTTGATTATCAGCTACTTTGAGATTTTCAGTTAAAACATATTTATGGCTACAGTGTGAGTCTTTTCAAAACAAAATTGAATGGGAAAAGCTTCTGAACAAAGAAAAATTTACTCATCGTCACCAGGTGCATTTGAATTTGTAAAATAAATGGAAAAAAACCACAACCCTGCAAAACCCCAAACCCTCCTAGGTGTTCTCTATAGTTTTCCTTTTGTTTGCTGCACCTAGTTATTGTAATCTGCAAATTATTTTATTTTTGGGGGTTTCCCTGCAAAGAAAGTGGTTGCTGGAGTTTGTCAAGTAGAAATTTTTTTGGGAAAAAGACCAAGATGGGAACGAATTCTTTGTCTGTTCTTCGGCTGGTCTAATTTCTTGTTTATCTGTGTTTGTTTACAGAGAGTGTTGTGGGGTTTTTTTTTTTTTTTCTCTTTTTTTTCTCTGGTTGTTTTTGTTACCTACTGACTGACAGTTCTTGACCTTGCAGGTTGAACATCCCGTCACAGAATGCATTACCGGCCTGGACTTAGTCCAAGAAATGATCCGTGTTGCTAAGGGTTACCCTCTCAGGCACAAACAGGCTGATATTCCCATCAACGGCTGGGCGGTTGAATGTCGAGTTTATGCTGAGGTAAATGAGTGGTAATGGGGAGGAGGGTAGGTGGTTGAATTGTGGAGTAATAATACCCAGATGTGGATAGATGCCAAGGTGAAGTCAAGGAATATCATGTGAAAGTCACGATTTAGAGTATGTAACACAAATGGTTAATGAGCTTTTGTAGAATTGTAGAATTTTTATTTTTTAATTCAAAATACAGTATGTGTTTCAACATATCTTTTTTCTGAAATCAAAACTAAGTGGTAAAAGAGATAACTGAGGTTTATTTCTAAGGACATTTGCTATATGTTCTGTTCACATTTAATGATGCAGTGCTGGAGTTTTTTGCTACAGTTCACTAGTGTTCCCAGGTTTCTTAACTTGTGTACTTGAAACTTGTCTTAAAAAGACAGTTGAAATTCAATGGCTTACAGAATTTTTGTTGTTGTACTAAAACATTTTAATAGGTTGCTGAAAAAGCAAGTTATATATCTTCTGAAACTATATTTTGTAGGACAAACTTTCAAAGTGCACTCCAGGACAATAACTTTATAATTACGGTATGACTCTGTCTCACCTTAAAAAAGCTTACTAAAATATAAAACCCATTTTAAAGCATGTTTAGGACATTTCAAGGTAACATCTTTTTGTGGTCATTTTTGATACATGAAAATCAAGATTTGTTACTTAAAAAATGATGCTTAGCTTCTGTCACTTTGTTTGAGGAACGTTTTAGGTAACTGTGCTTTTCAAAAATATTTCAGCACCTTGAAATGTTTTTTCGCTCGCTTAACTATTGTGGCTTTTGTGACCCAGGGCATCTTACTTTATATTGTTTTTTTCTTTCTCTTCATGACGTGCACATAATCTTCAACGTGCTCTAGTGATTACAAGTTATATGAACTGTTTTGATAGAGAATAAATATTTGCCCTGTGATTGGCATGGAAACTATTCTGAGTATTAGTAGGCTTTACCCTGGAGTAACTGATGCTTGGGTTTTTTTTTTTTTTTTGTTCAACTTAGATTCCCTCACATTTATAAGTAATGGATCCAACTACTTTGGCATGGGTTTGGTTATCCTGTAGGCCATATATTTATTTGCAGTCCTATTAAGTTTATATTGGTATTGCATTATGTAGGAGATTTCCAAAGGCATAATGGTCAGTTTGGTTTCTTAAGATAATTGAATTTCGGACCGCCCCTTTTATCTCTGAAAATTTTTCCTTATACTCTCTTCTCAACTCCACCCTTCTGAATACTTTCCCATCCTTTTTCCAACGCACAATATAGCAAATGAAAATGTCATCTTTGTATATTTTGGTGGTGTACTGTAGCTATATGCAGAGCACTTCTTTCCTGCTTTTTGACTGCGATGCAAGAGAATTTATATGCTACCAGTTCTTTATTTGGAGCCGCAGGGGTAGGTGGATGAAGAAATGTACTTCAACACAAGTAATTCTGGGGAAGAAAACAAAGTTATTCCAGCAGTGGTTTCTCTTAGACTTCAAGCTTTTTAATGTTACCTTCTCCGCATCTGTAAAAGCTTAATGCTTTCTCATGTTGAATTTTATTTCAGGACCCCTACAAATCTTTTGGCCTGCCATCCATTGGTAAGCTGTCTCAGTATCAGGAACCACTGCACGTGCCAAGTGTAAGTAACTTGGTTCTGGTTTTCATAGGTGCTGAGTGTTTCTTTTATAGACAGAGACTATAAGTACTCAGCAGCTTTGTAAATCGGACCCTTTTTCCATCTTTTTGCCAGGGGAGGGACAGGACATGGCAATACTTATTTGTGCAACCTGAAAAACTGCTTAAAAATACACAGTTCCAAACTGGGTTTAAAATGTTCAAGTTGGGTATAACAGGAAACCATTATATGTTGAAATATTTTGGTACCTTCTATAACTTTCAGCTTAAGTTTTTCAAACACAGCTTTAGTAAAAATACCGTGGTGATTAGAAAGGACAGTGAAAAGTTGAGTCAGCTCTTTAAGCACAGAGGACTGGGGACACCAGTGAGAAACTGCCACTGCTTTCTGTTTAGCTTTGTAGCCTTTAAAGAGGAAATTTGTTACAGCGATTATTACACTTTTAGGATACAGTCTTACTACATGGAATGGCTGTTTAACAAACTGTTTTCTGCCACGTGTAAAGAACAAGGACACCACCTTTCTGTAAAATCAAGGTAGTCTAAGTCGTAAGTGCACATATACATGACGTTATGTCAGTTAGTGGAATGACAAGGCAGTACCATCTGTGAAAACAATTATTCAGTCTGATAGCTTGCACGGAAAATAGTGAAAGATTACAGGAGGAATCTTAAATGTGGAGATGTTATTGGATATATGATTTATTTCGCTTCTTAAATTGTTTTTGCCCATGTACTTTCCGAAGGGACCTGACCCTTTCTGGTCTTTAAGGCTTCATGCTGTGTTCAAAGCCTGAAAGCAGAAAAAAATTGTGAAGATCTAAAAGGCCTTATGTGATCTTAAAGAGGAGATGAGGGAAAAAGGTATCATTGGATGTATCTAAACTTTTTTTTTTTTAATGAAACAAAGAGTGTATTTAATAAGAATTTATAATGAATACTCCAGTGGTTGTTAGAAGTTTTCACCATGTTGTAATAGCTAACAGGATGTCAAACATTTTGCCCTTGCAAGTTTTTGCAATTTGCAATTTTCCAAACGTGAGACCTGTTGAAAGTACAAGTGATAATGGACAAACTATACCCCCTACAGTCTTTGTCCCACCAAATCTTTCTTCAATTAATGCTGCAGCAGGAGTTTTATGTAATAACATTTACGCTTGTGAGCCATCCATACAAAGAAAAAACAATTAAAATGCCTTAAATGTTCTGCTTACTGCTGTTATTTGCTTGTGTGAATGTTGCATGTCAGCTAAATGGACCACAGAATAGATAAAGTGATTGGGTGCAGGAGAGTGCACACTAAGCTTTGTCTATCATTATTGCTGGGAGCAATCAAATTGATGCCAGCAGGACAGTAGACGCGTTGACAGCTGTAATTATGTATCTCCATGGTGATCACTTTTGGCCTGTCATGGAGGCCCATGAGTCCCCTCCATTGCAAGCATTTAATCAGATTGGGCTGTCACTTGTCAGGTAGACGGGGGTGGGCTGGGAGTTGTGCTTAGGCGGAGAGGTGAATTGAAAATGAAGGGTGGGAGATGCCTGATTGCTTCACGTGGTCCATCGTGGTACCAAAGAAAGAAATTTTAATTACTCTGGAGGCTTCAGAGCAATGGTTTGAGGAGCTCATATGGAGTGTCGAGGCTGTTCTCTTTCTGTTTACTTCTATTGTTGTATTAAAAATAGAACAGCTATTTTTATGTAGACACTCATGGTTTGGTATCTTAATACATCTTTTCTGCCACTGTGAAACTAATTTCTCTCCTGAGAATGTCATGCTGCTAAGAACAAAATTAATATGACTAAAAAAGTTCAGCCTTACAGGTCCATTGTGCCACAGTGTTTGCTTTCTGCATTTTAGACTTTAGAATTGTCAACAAGTTGGCTTAAAAAAAAATAGCAGAGACTTGTAGTGTGTCACAGCGAGTTTGGCTTATGAGTAGTGTATTGCCAAATGCATTTTCCATTCATTTCTTCTGTGTCTCAGGTTAGCTCTGATTGTCTATCTGTGCCTGTGTGTCCAGCTGCTCAAGCTGGTGGAACTGGTGTGCATGGCTGTGTGGGGTTTTTTTTCTTAGCCATAGATAGGAATATACTGGCTATTTTTGTGTCATGTAGTCTGTAATTTTCTTAGAACATGGTACTCGTAAATATCGAATTTTTTTCATCTTTGATAATGAAGCTTAAGATAGGTAACCCGTATTATGGTAGTGAGCATTCATGTTCAATGCTCTTACCCAACACAGCAAATGTATGCCATATCTGAAGAGTTCCAGCATTGCTCTTTGCCAGTACGGTGGGCAGTCTGGTCTTTTAATGACTCTTGCCAGAAAGAGAAAACTCTTAGACTCTGATATGGCAAAGAATTGAGAAATACTAGAACCTCTATGTGTTGGTAAGTGGAACTTGATGCACTAATAGTTCGTTGCAGGACTGGGACATAGATTGTGCTTTTTTTTTTCCTCTTAAGCTTTTTTTATCTTCCAGTTTATGTTGTCCTAGTGTGATAACACATAATGGTAGTACAACAGCAATAGAAGTGTTGGGGGCTGTAATACCAATGAGCTGTAGGGTACAGTAGGATCTTGAACCGTAGGCTTTCTTTGGTATTTTAATACTGAGTAAAAGAAAGTAAATATGTTAAGTAGAAGTAAATGCTGGAGGCCTAATAAGTATTGCTATTATTTATCAAGTTAAGCATATTATAGCGAGTATCTGTTGAATTAGGGTTTCTTTTTCATCCAATATTCATTAAGTTCTGTCACACCATATAGTTTATAAAATCACCTACTGTTACCAGGCTTTGAAAATGTAAGCATCACAGAGAGAATTGAACATGGTAAATGTATTTCTTTTCTGCTGTCATTTTTTTAGTCATCTTTATTTTATGAAAATTAAACTTCTACAGAGGACTCCAGATTATTTTTTTAAAAGGAAATTATGGTGTAATTTTTAAAGAATTTTCAATTCTAACTGTAATTTTTCATTTTTCAGGATGTTGTACTTAGGAAAAAGTGTAAATTGTATAGTGGTATGTATGTATGTTGTGTATCAACAGAAACACAGAGCAGGCGGAGCATGTAGTCAGTAGCCTCAGAAACCTTACATTAACTTCAAGGTCTGACTAACCTGCTTACTCTGGGTCTGAATTATGCACCTTTCATATGTTTTATGTCAAAATATGATATACATTTATAAATACTTACATTCACATGTATGCGTATGTAAAGCACCCCTGAACACTTATATGTAATCACTGTATAGGTGCTACTTTGGAGACAAAAGTCACAGTAGAATTCAAGTATATGTGGAGTATGTCTGTCATACCTTCATGTTTTATATATGTACTTATTCTATACTACAAAAAATACAAATATATTGTATACTACAAAATATCGGCAAGGGGATTTATCTGGGACTGAGTAGGTAAATTAATTTTTTCTGATCTGAATGTGAGAATGTATGCATTGACTTTATATATAGGCAGACATCCTGCGAGGAAGGATGGTTTAGCAATTACAAAAAGGGAGCTGGGAAATACGCTGTATGTTTCTTCTGTAATCATGACATGTCTGAACTACCTTCTCATCAGTAGCTAATATTAAACGTACCTGATACGGGTAGTGGGGGGCCTAGTTAAGCGTAGATAAAGTACATTCAAATAAGATGTGATAAAAATGCTACAGAAGTGCTACTACCTTTAGATATGAATAAATGTGCTATATAAATAAACATAAATATATAAGAAACAATATATAAATGTATAAATATATAAATACAAATATATAAATAAGTATATGCTTTTTTTAAATAAAAAGAGCATAATGTTGTAAGAACTGGTCAGACAGTGTTTCTTACTGAAGAAAGTGAGTACACCTGCTAGGGTATCTTTTTATGTCATTTGGATAATAAAGTCATCATCATGCCCTCATGTGGATTCTGTAGACAAGAGGTTCTACATGTGGTCCCTTGATAATTGCCTAAATTAAAATATTAAAGGCCTAACAGCCGTTGCGTTGACCTTTTTCTGCCTTGCTGCAGACAGATGAGCTGCTGTTTATTACAAAGGTTCCTTCCCACAGGTGAAGATTTAAGTGAGATTCCAGGACCCTCTTTCCCACCCCCCTTACAATGCAGTATATTGGAGCCCTGCTACTTCAACAGCTTTGATTAGAGCCCTCCATCCTTATGACCCTCAGAATGCATTTATCACTCTCGAGTTATTTTGATTAGTTTTTAAAAAATATTTCAGATTCCAGTGCTCAAAAGCAGCAATTTAATAAATATTTATTCCCCAGAAATTGCTCATTTGAAAAGTTTTATATGGCTAACCCCATTGCTACAGTGATGAAATCAAACTGAGAGATGAAAACAAGAATCAGCAATATACTAACTAACTTGTTGGCTGGTTAACAGCAATCAGCCTCTTCAAAAGAAATTTTTGAACTTGTGTTTTTTTTTTCCATGAATATTGCAGAATCAGAGCTTTAATTGGGGCTGTGTCCTTACAAAGCAAAGCCACGGAAAAAGCTGTGTAAACATTAAAGCCTCAGGGGAACAGCAGCAACAGAAAAAAAATGTTTTACAGTTGAGAGGGTGAGGCAAAGAAGGAACGTGTTACAGACATGAAAACCACAGGATCAGTATTCCTATGGAGCTGATAAGCAGAGCTCCAAAGTTCCCGCTGAATGTTCCCTACTTGTATTCTTACTGGAGCACTCGAAAGGGCTGTGGCTGAATATGGGGAACGTGATTACATATAGATGCAGAAAGGATGTGATCATAGGGGGCATCCTTCATGCCAGGTGTCAGTCAGAAGAATAATTACAACTGTATTTTATTACAGGGATTAAATCGGAATTGGATATGTTCAGAGTGTGTAATGCAACCTAAACTGTTAGATCAAATTTAATGTATTTACTGTGTATTCTAGGAGAACAAAAGAGAATTTTGACTATCAACTGAAGATTGCAGTCGTATTTTCTTTTAAAGGAGAGAATAACTTGCAAGTATGTTTCCTGGTGGAGGAAAAAGCTCCCCTTCCCCCTTCCCAGCTTCTCTGAAAAGAAGTAATTATTGTAGTTCTTCAAGGGGAAAAAAAAATGTACGCGATAAGCTTCATGGGTGTTTTGTATTAAGCCTGCCAGGTAGATTTGATCTCATGTTGAAATTTTTTTTTTTCCAATATAGAATTATTTTTGCTTCTTATTTTTTGAAGGTACGTGTTGACAGTGGCATACAACAAGGAAGTGATATTAGCATTTATTATGATCCTATGATCTCAAAAGTGAGTCGATGGTTATTTTTCTATATTCTAAAGGTATGAAACATTAATTTTATACACAGATCTTTTAAAGGAGGGAGAGTATATTAAAGGATTGGTAAATCAGTATTTTAAAGGTGCTAGGCATAACATGCTTCAAGTGAATATGAAAGAAGTGAAGGAAGGTGTGGAGTAAAAATTTAGTGTCACTTCTAAACAAAAAATTTTTTATCTTTTGGCACTGTAATTTTGTCTTGCAGTTTCTGATTGTTAAAGGGATTCTGATTTAAACAGAAGCTATTACTTTCAGAGTTAGGTGCTGCCAATCTGTCTTTTTTAATGTAACCTAGCGAGAACTAAAATTTCAGTAATTCTGGTTTCCAAAAAGAAGCAGTGAAAGAAATGGTTGATAGTGTCTCTTAGTATTAGTTCTTATTCATAAGTAACATATTGGTAAAATGAAAATATGACATTATAGTCAGAGTTCAATTGTCAAAAAAACTCACATTTAGAAGTTGGTTGGGCATTAGAAGTCAGGAGAGTCAGCTAAATACTGAACCTCTGTACCTAAAGAGGAAGAGACAGCTTGTTTAGATGCTTTAAGTTTTATGAAGGAAAAGTGATTGGCCTTCTTTCGTTGAATGGGTTAAGAGATCATAGTTTTCTCTTGATGTTTTAGAGAGCCTCTTAAGCACAGATACAGTAATGTGCGAGAAACGTTTTTGTGACTGCAGAAGTTCTACAAACCATTCTCATTTTATATGCTGTTCAGAATCTAGAGACAAACATTATCTCATTTCTAGGTAACTTAAATACTTTTTTTTTTTTAGCTGATTACCTATGGCTCTAATAGAGCTGAAGCACTGAAAAGAATGGAAGAGGCTTTGGACAATTACGTAATTCGAGGTAACTACAGAAATTTGGGTTCCTAGTGTGATAGGCTGCCATCTATTTCAAGAAAACAGCTTGAAAATATAGTAATTAGCAAATTGAGTAAAGTTCCTGCTTCTTAAGTGCAAATTAAAACAGGAAAAGCTTGTGTTAATTAAGCTGAGAAGATACACCAAATCTAACGAGACTGCATTTTTTTCTCTATTGTTTTTGCTTGAATATTGTGAGATAAATATTTAAATCGTTTCCTTAAACTCGTAAGAGTTTTCACAAAATGGTAGCATGTAATTCATTTACTATGTTGTGAAGGAAAAAAAAGGCCACTACACTGTAAGAAATTTAAGTAGTTGCTATTTTATAGTGGTTTAATACATTGATCATGGTAAAATAATATCACAGTGCAGTATTTGATTGTGTATATATATATATTTCTTCTTTTCAAGGTAATTGTTTAAGTTTGGGCAAATACAGATGTAGGCTGATGATCAGAATGCATTCCAGCTCTTGCTGACTGACTGCCTAGAAGTAGCTGTTCTTCTAGCCTTTCCAAGCAGCAGGGGTGAATCAACCATGACCGCTTTAACTCCTTTTAAGTTTCAGAGAGGGAAGTCACGGTTTGTGTAGGAGACATCTTTAGATCTTCCTCTCTGTCTTGTGGAAAATAGGAAGGAAAACTCATAGGAGAGGGAAAAAATTGAATTTTTTTTATCCTTTCTTTTCCTGGGGATGATTAGAGAAGTGTAATGTGGCAAAAATCTTCATTTTACCCCTTAACTGTGTGGGTGTTTGGGGGAGTTATTTTTTTCATTGCTAGTCAGTATACTTGAAGAACCAGGGTAGGCAGGAAGGAAACTGTTGGAGGATTTGCTGCCTTTGTTCCTTGTTTTGATTGCTGGACAGGTTGTTCTTGCATGCTTTGAGATTGGAGAAAGACTTTGAACACTTACTTAATTCCTCCTCTGAATGGCTGGGAGGAGGAGCAGGAGAGACCTTGTGTAGCAGACAATCATATGAGTGTTTCTGTAAAACTTGGTTTGGCTTTAATGCTGTCCGCTGAATACTACAGATACCATGTCAGACTAGAAAGATTTATCTGTCTAGGGGAAAATGAGCATCTCTGTACTGCAGTGTAGCTAGATAGGTGGTAGGATTAGCCATTGTAAATGAACTGCATAACTCTAAAGTGGATTTATACTGGTGCAACTTGAGCCATTAGACTGTTGCAGTACAATGTGCTGATGTAAAGCCCTGCTGTATATCAGCTGAGTAAATTTATATGAGAGAGAAATTTATACCACTATAGCTAGGCTGATGTGAAGTGGTTTATTTTGTTCGTGTTTGTTTTTAATGGAGACAGGCTCTGGATTCAAACTCGGTTTGAATTAGTAGAAAATTATGCTAGAAGAATTATAGTTAATGAGAATAATGGAATTGTGTGTGGAGCATGGTCTCTTCTTGTGTGCTATAATGTGGGATAGAACTTAATTGTTTGTCCTTAAGTGTTTTACACAGGTGTGTATGTACCTAATAACAGTTCCACAGATACAGAAATACCTACGAAGGATATGACATCTTACATATGAAAATTACTGATTTGCATTCTTGATTTTTTTTTTACAGTCTTTTATTAGTATGCATGTATGCATTTAAGTGTTCATACCCGATACCTCTGTAGTATTTCTACCTGTGAAAAAGCTCTTCATCTATTAAAAACATTGAAAGAGGTAATAAATGAACTACGGGAGGGAATGCATTTTTTTTAAAGTATTACAAAGAACAAATTTTAATTTACCACAGTTTCAAAAGTAAATGAATTTCCAGAACACTTTTTTAGTTGCGGTGAGCAGTAGTTTCCATTTGAAAACCAACAGGATTTTTGTGTAGTTCTACACAGCTGGTAGTTTCTTCTCAGGGTTTATTTAAAATGTAACATTCATGGCTATTAAAGTATTTCTTCTCTTGCCTAGTGTGAATGATGCTTGATCGGGCATTTTGTAGAAACTGTCCTATCTAATGTTCTGAACTGCATTGACATGTACAGAACTCCTCCTTGTTCAGAGGAGTTGTCTCTAATTAAAGCTCAAGTAAGCCTAACAGGTGGTGCAGAAGTCGTAATATATTGGTATTTAAATGGACAAAAATAATTAAACATCAGAAAAGAAAAAGCAATTTAATGCATTTTTTTCCTAAAACCATTGTGTATATTTTTGCCTTAAAATGTTAGGTGCTATGTAAACCAATATTAAACCACCTTGATGTTATGTGAAAGTGCCTCACATGAAGTCTTCTCTGTAATTGAGTTGTTGTTAGTAGTAAAAGATACAGAATAGTTTTTTACCTAGCTTTGAAGTTACTTGGTTTTATATTTGAATAGTGAGCCTGTACAGAACTATTTAGAAATCCACATAGTGTTCCTGAATAGTGTGCTCCACATTCCTATTTCTGGACCACCCCCCTGCCCCCATTTCCTTGGAAGCAGCTTTTATGTTTGCTTTGTGTTTTAGAGCCAGTGTATTTTTCCCCGTAAGTAACAAGTCTCTTCTGAGTTACAAAGTGTTTTAGCTAAGCATTACCTGCTGAAGTTAGTGTGAATTGTACTGATAATATACACTGTGAGAATTTAGATTTAAATTC